TACACAATGGAATACTACTCAGCTATAAAAACGAATGAAATACTGCCATTTGCAACAGCATTGTTACTTCTTATAGAGATTTCCTCCTCACATTTTTAAAAACAAATCCAAAGGGTACCCTGGTGCATCTCAAAGACAGCACAGGCTCTGCTTTGGTTAGTATTCAGGGAGATCAGCTAATGTCCATTTGTGACTTCCTGTCAAATCTCACCCGAGCCAGGGTGGTGGGGGGCCGAGGGCCTCATCCATGCCTACCCCCCACCCCACATGAGCAACCAGCCCTGCCACAGCCACCGAGCTGCCGCAGGAGGCGCCCTGGGCTCTCCACAGCTGGGGCGGCAGGGGACCAAGGGTCTTGACCACGCTCCCCCCACGCTCAACCAGCCCAGTGACAACCAGCAAGCCTCAGCAGGAAGGGCCCCGGGTTCCTGAGCTGGGGTGGTGGGGGCAATGACTATTGCCACACCCACTTGACATCTGCACCCAGCCTGACAATGACCAAGCCACCACCGGAAGCCCACTGGTCTCCCCTGTGGGAATGTGGGGGTGCCACAGGCCTCAATCCCACCCCTCCTCCTTTCTCCTTTTTTCATCCCATTTCCTTCCTCTTTCCCCTCCCCCTCTGCCTTTCAACTGCTCTACAACAACACCTTAAAATATAAAAAAAATTAATAACATTTTTTTTTTAAGTTAAAGTTTAAAAAAAAAATCTTGGACTCTAAACACAGGCACTGAACTATTTTAAAGATGATCCGTCACCTATATTTGTCTTTTTAACAACAAACCTTAGTCTCAATTGTTAGTATATCTCAAACATCTGGAATGTTCTGTGGTTCTGGAGGAATTTTTAAGACAAGTTCAAGACAAGAGAAAATTTAGGGAAAGGAAAATTCTTCCCAATAGCCTATGTAAATGCCAAGCACAGTAGCTTTAAAGGTCTCCAAGTAAAACCCAGGCCTGAAGAAATTATTTTTTACTGCATCCTGCTGCCCTCTCTCCTTGTTTTCAGTCATAAATACTCAGATTACACTGTATGTTTCCACAAGCTCATTACTTTAGAACAAAGTCCACTGTTAAGAACAGCTGCTAGGAGCTGGCCAGTTAG